GGCGCGAGCGCGGTGACGACGGCAGCGGGCGCGCGGTCACGGCGACGGGCGCGGGTTGCGGGACCCGGCAGCCGGCGCGGGCGCGCGACGGCGGACGCGGCGGCCGGCGCAGGGCACGTAGTGGCGTACGCGGCGGCGGCGCGCGGCCGGCTGCTGGCGCGGGGAGCAACAAGTGGCTCGGCGTGGGTCGCTAATACGTGGGCCAGGGACGGACATGAGCGGACGAGAGAGGGCGAGAAGAGCGTCCGTTTGTGTCCGCACAGACCCATTTGTTGCCTAACTTTGCTCCAGGTTTGGGGTTGAGCCGGACGAAAACGGACATCTGCGAACAACTTTGTCCGTTTGGGGTCTAGCGCTGGGCCGTGTTTTACCCCAAAGCGTGTCCGGCGGATAAGATAGGATCGTGCGGTGGAGTTGGCCTTAGATCTCCACTCCAGCCGCTAAACCCCCCATGAATGATGCAACAGCATGACCAGAGGTGCAACCGCACATGCATGCATGGGTATCTGCAAGAATGAAAGATGGCATACTTTGATCAAGCCTGGTGGTGGACTGGAATGGATCCAATCTTGGGAGCGCTCCTTGTAGGGTTACCTTATCACCACCATACACTGGCATAATTATCACATGCAGTGTAGGGATCATCTTTCCAGGATGCAGAATCATTCATAAGCATGCTGTTGCCCATGGCACTAAAGAATATTATATACTTTTTCTTCATCGCCTGCCTTTTGTGCTGGCCATGGCATTGCATTCTCTCTCCAGGCTCTCGAGTGTCGTGGAGATGTCTGCTCCCTCCCTGTCACCGTCAAGAATGGAGCACGAAAAACATGCCTGCAAGGAAAAGCTTCAGGAGATGCGTACCAAAATTTTGCACCGCAAACTGTGCAACATTTCCCTACCAGATTTTCGACCTATCTATTATCTTTGTTCACATGTCCTTGCAGATTGAGATGACAAGACCACCCCACATCAGACAAACCTTCATGACAAGGATGTCTACAAAGTCGCAACTGTTGCAGGATGGCAAGACACTGCATTTCCTTCTCCGGTTCTCCACCACCCGTGAGTGACAATGTTATCCACACTGGCCATGAACAGACCATACTCACTCCAGTGCATGTAAATAAACACAGTAAAATCTTGAGAAGCAGAGATTCAAATCCCTAATGGCGATGAAAATGTCTTGTGTGCATAACAGAGAGGAATCCAACAGGTACGGGCAGCACATAGGCCAGTATGTACCTCACCCTGTAGCAGGAGCATCAGCCAAAACTGATTGCAGTTGAACACCTGGAAAGCAAGGACAATAATGCAGCCTACACACCGGCACAACTTAAGCTGAGCTTCTTGGCCTCATTAGTAGGCAGTACCACCCGTGATCCCTGTGAATGATGCTCCAGGCTAGGCCTGCGGTGGACATGGTGCACAGATTGATCAAAGCAGCTACAGTGATGTACTGATGTCTGCCTCATTTCTCTGCACAGTCCTAGCTCCACTATCTTCTGATAAGCACCTGAGAGCAATGTTTTTGGGCATTTCTGATGCAAGAAAGATCAACGAGCAACTTCTTGCGCTTGTAAGCCTGCCAACAAGGTAGAGATTCTGTTTGTAGTCTCGGTGGTTTCTACAGTAGCATCTAACAAAATCCAATTTAGGGGCGTCGGTTCTCCCCGTGACTGCAGTGGGTACTGTCCACGGGATGGTCTGTGCAATGAGGCAAAAGCTTCACTTCACATGGTCTAATTATATGTTGTCGATAAATTGGAGGCTAAGAGGTGTGAAATGTTCCCAGCAGGCCTGCACCCCTTGCATGGTGCTCTCAAAGTTTCAGTTCATGGAACGAGGACATCCCCAGTAACCAATTAGCTCATCTTAAGCACCTTACCCATATCCACAATCCCCAGTAACCAATTAGCTCATCTTAGGCACCTAATATCCATATCCACAATCCACATATCAGCACTGCTGCTATGTGGAAGGTGAGTGGCTCTGAAACTGTGACAGCCACATACATTCATTTCGGGTGAGAACAGATTTGATCTTGTCCAATTTTTCTTTCTTTCTTTCTTTTTATCACTAAGATAATTAACACATTATAAGCATGGTATGAAGAATATCCAGTGTTCTGTACGACCAGATGAATTAATACTACACAAAAAAATTGGAGCCATCAGGATATCCACAATTAAACATTCTTCTACAGGGTGCTTACAGAGGGGCAGTATAACCACATCATCATTTACCCCCAAGTAAGAAGCATAGGTGCTTCGGTACTTGTATTTTCTATTACTTAGAGGTAGTTATACACCCAGATACCTGTTAAATACTAGTGCTCACAAGCGTCGGTGCTACAAAATTAGTAAATTAGCAGCTGTCCTAGATGGCAAGAAAAGATAGGTATCTTTTGTTAAGCACCTCTCCAAACATCTGCATCACAGATGCTTTAAGCACTTGAGATCACATAAATTGCTCGCTCATTCCCATTTAATGCGAGTTGGTCACCAGTAATAAGGCCAAGGACTTAACTTGGAAGTTGGAACACTGAAGAACATGGAAATGTGGAGCTGATAAACCTCATAAACAGGACTAGATGGACAAATGATATATGATTATATCTCAAACCTATTAACAATTGCAAATAATGGTAGTTCTGTGAATCTCTGACCCAATCAAAATTTATCTATCGATTTTGAGAAACAGGCTATCATATCCTTTTTGCAGTGATCCTACCAGGAAGGGTGACCGGCCAATCAAAAGCGCTAGTTGCAAAAAAAATAAATCTATGTTAAGCAGATTGTTAGATGACTTAGCTGAAATCATTTATCATTACTTGAACCATTGAGTTCATCTTGTTGTAGAAAAGACGATTAAGCATGGAAGCTACCTGCAGGGCTGCAAAAATATATGCACAACAATGAAATGAAATGACTTAGTGACTATCTTCGACCATGTTATACGATGAAAAATCCTTCAAGCTATTTAACTAGTTACTCAGCTATATGTACGTGCTCATACATCCTTTCAACGCTTCCATTCACTTTGACACAACAATTGTCTGCTAGGCCGGGATATCAGCACACTAACCAGTCTAACCTGCTATTTCCACACACCAAAAAAAAAACTAACCTGCTAGTGACCTTAGCACATCTAATTACAGAAAAGCTTTCACTAAATTCCCTCACGAGAGTGGCACTATGCACTGCAATGGTGTTAGTTTATCTGTAATCCAATTTCAGTTTCAGTTGAAAAAGTACAAATCATGTTCATAATCAATAAACAGTCTGCTCTGCTCTATTTAATTTTTACGAGTGATGCCTTGTATTATTTTCCCACTTCATAAATTTATCGAGGAAGGTTTCTGCACCAAACATTTCTTTTTTTGAGCAGTCAACGGGGGGCGATCGCCCACCTGAACTCATTTTTGTATTAATAATAAGACAGAGGCACCAAACATTTCTCTGTAGAAAGATTTGATACCATGTCAGATCCAGTGGTTTCTTCTAACATTTCTCTGTTTGCAAGCCCTACTAAGACACATTATATATCAGACACAATCACATTTGCATTATTTCCCCTTACAACAACCAATAGTGTCAGGTGCATTCGCAGCTTGTCACTAACTTCTTTGAACAATCGAACAGGAAAACAGCAACGATTATCAGCAGTGCACTAAATCGAATACCATTGATGCTAAGTAGCTTGCCACTTAGAGACTAACATACTGTCATCTGATCTTAAAATCAAACACCACATTGGTAATGATCTTAAAATTAAACACTACATCTGAGATGAGATAAATTCACTCTTGCCTTGCTCATAGGGAGATTCACTACATTACAAGTCAAACAAACAAGAAAGTACTAGGGAAATATCTTATCAGGCTAAAGGAAAAGCTACGCGAAATCTTCCAGCAAGATGGCCTTCTCCACCGTCTCCTCCTCCTCCTCCTCCTTCCGGCGCTCTCCTTCTCTGGTTCCCTTGCCGCAACGCTTCTCCTGCCCCAGCTCTTCTCCGACCACAACAACCCTATCTTCCTCGTCTCCGCGCCCGACGACTACCACCTCGTCGCAGCCTCCTCCGCCACCGCCGCCGACGACCACGACCTCGTCGGCGCCGCCCTCGCTGCCGCCCCCTGCGCCAACAAGGGCATCGGGAATGGCCCCGCGGGTGGTTCCCGCTGTTAAACCATGCAATATTCAGGTTCAAGGGGCATATACGTACCGGTTCAGATTGAGATAGATTCGGTTTAGGCTAGTTGAGTTGTAATCTTTCCATGCATATCTTATCTCTACTTTCCTTGTATCTTAAGATGTAATCTCAATAACTTGTATGCTTATCAGGGATATGCCCCTGCCTATATTAACACGCAACCGTCGCCTCGAGAGAGGTACGGCGTTCTCCACTGTTTCATATGGTATACAGAGCCACCTCTATCCATCGCATCTAGTTAGCACCATCCACCGCAGCCATGTCGTCCTCCTCCTCCAGCACCGGCCAAGCCTCCCTTGGGCAGGTCGCAGAAAAACTCACCCGCACCAACTATGTCCTATGGCGTGCGCAGGTGACGCCGCAGCTGAGAGGAGCTGGGCTGTTCGGCTACGCCGACGGCACCATGCCAGAACCTGTCAAGATCCTCGTCACAAAGGACAAAGACGGGAAAGAAGAGCAGACGATGAACCCTCTCCATCCGATCTGGTTCAGAGAAGGGCAGCAGGTACTCGGATACTTGCTCAATACTCTCACCAAGGAGGTTCTCGTGCAGGTTACCTCCATCGCCACGCCGCACGAGCTCTGGGCAGCTCTTGCCCACATGTTCTCGTCGCAATCCCGAGCCCGCGTCAACAACATCCGGGTCGCTCTCTCCACGGCGCAGAAGGGAACGCAGTCTGTCGCCGCCTACTTCGCCCAGATGAGAGCGCTAGCAGATGAGCTTGCAGCCGCTGCGAAGCCAATCGACGACGATGAGCTTGTCTCTTACATCGCCGCCGGCCTCGACATGGAGTACCAACCCCTCGTCTCCGCCAACGACGCGCGCACCGACACCATCAGCATCGACGATCTCTATGCTCAGATGAGCAACTTTGATCAGCGCCTCGCCCTCTACAACAACAACTCGGGCGGGGGCTTCAAGTCTTCTGCTAATGCTGTCGCCCGTGGTGGCAGCCGCGGCGGTGGCAGCTCACGCTATCATGGGCCACCGCGTGGCAAAGGCAAACCGCCATCTGGCGGAAACAGCAGCAGTGGCAACTCCTTCCGCGGCGGCGGCGTCCCTCCAACAACAACAACAAGGGCCGCCGTGGTGGCATGCCTCGCACCAACCCTGACGCGCCGCGATGCCAAATTTGTGGCAAGTTAGGCCACACCGCTCGCGATTGTTGGTATCGCTACGAAGAAGACGGCGAATCCTCACAGGATGAAAAAGTTGCAGGTGCTGCTGATGGCTCCTATGGCATCGACACAAACTGGTATGTGGACAGTGGCGCAACTGACCACATCACCAGCGAGCTTGAAAAAGTGACAGTTCGTGAAAAGTACCGTGGGCAAGACCAAGTTCACACCGCGAATGGAGAAGGTATGAGCATTAGTCACGTTGGTCATTCAGTGCTTAAAACTCCTCACAAAAAAATTCTCCTAAGAAAAATCTTGCATGTCCCTAGTGCTTCAAAAAATCTCCTTTCAGTTCATCGCATCGCCATTGACAATCATGTATTCCTTGAGTTTCATCCGTTTTTCTTTTTGATCAAGGATCAGGTCACGAAGAAAATTCTGTATCGAGGTAGATGCGTTCGAGGGCTTTACCCGTTGATTCCGGAGCTTAGGAGATTGAATAAACAAGCCTATGGTGTCACCAAAGTCTCTTCAACACGGTGGCATGATAGATTAGGGCATGCATCTTTTTCTTTAGTCGAACATTTGCTTAGAAAGAATAAGCTCCCGTTTGTTGGTGAGCGAGATCGTGAAACAATTTGTGATTCTTGTCAGTGTGCTAAAAGTCATTAGTTACCTTACCCTGTGTCTACAAGTATTTCCACCAAACCTCTTGAGCTCATTTTTTCAGATGTCTGGGGTCCTGCTCCTACATCAGTTGGTAGACACACTTATTACGTAAGTTTTATCGATGATTATAGCAAGTACACATGGATCTATCTTATCAAAAAGAAATCTGATGTTTTTCAAGTCTTTCACAACTTTCAAGCACTAGTTGAAAGAAAGTTCGATTGCAAAATCTTAGCACTCCAATCCGATTGGGGAGGGGAGTACCGCAACCTCAACTCCTTTTTTTCAACAAATTGGCATATCACACCACGTGTCATGCCCCCATGCTCACCAACAAAATGGATCAGCCGAGTGCAAACACAGGCATATAGTTGAAGTTGGCTTGGCTCTGCTTGCTGCTGCCTCCATGCCTTTGAAATTCTGGGATGAGGCTTTCCTCACCGCCGTCCACCTCATAAACATGTTGCCTAGTAGAGTCATCAACAATGAATCTCCAGTAGAACGTCTCCTTCACACAAAACCAGATTACACATCACTATGTGTATTTGGGCGTGCGTGCTGGCCGAATCTTAGGCCTTACAACAATCGCAAACTCATGTTCCGGTCAAAACAGTGTGTATTCTTGGGTTATAGTCCACAACATAAAGGTGTGAAGTGCCTTGATGTATCCACTGGACGTGTCTATATTTCCCGTGACGTTGTCTTCGATGAAACTATCTTCCCTTTTGCACAACTTCACCCAAACGCCGGAGCCCTTCTTCAAAAAGAAATTCTCCTTCTACCTTCACATCTCACCGGTGGTAACAATGGGGACGTTTTAGACACTAATGATGAATTGTTGACTAATCCTCCTACTAATGATGGTGTTGAGTCTTATGATGCAACAGAAAAAAAATGCTGCAAAAAATGGTGAAGAAATCAGCCTCCACCATCATTTTATGCTCCCTGGACTAACTGGCAGCAGCACCGGAGCAGATCTCCCTCGGGATCCGGGCGTATCGTCCTCGGGATCCCACCTGCGCCAGCCTGCCATCCTGACTCCAGCGGGATCCGCGCCAGCAGCGCCAGGCGGATCCGCCTCGAGTCTCGTCGTGCCACACGCCAACCGTGGCTCGGCGTCCGCTCCGCGCCAACCCGCCAGCGCCACGCGGCCCCTTCTCCAGCCGCCCGTGCCTGGCCCAGCGCCTGGTCACGCGTCTCGCCCCGCGCCTGGCCCCGCACCTGGTCGGTTCGGCCCCGACACGCGCTGCTATGCACGGCGCTCATCGCCGCCAGACTCGGGCGCTGACTCCCATGTGGATTCTGCGGCAGCTCCTGGCCCGCTGCTCCAATCATTGGCGGATCATGAGCCCCATGCAGGATCGGGATCCTCTGCGGCTCCCTCTTCTTCAGCGTCACGTGAACCGGCCACAGAAGATCCGATCTGCATGACCTCGCCCAGCGAGCTGGCGGCTGCTCCTGGTGCTGGATCTTCTGTGGACCTTCCTCGCACTAGGCTTCAGAGGGGAGTAACTCAACCCAAAAAACTACAAGTCTTTGGCAAAATTTGGACTTGCTTGTATCTCACATGAACCAGATATACCAACCTCTGTTGCAGAAGCTCTAGGCGATCCAAAGTGGCAGAAGGCTATGAAAGATGAATACATGGCGCTTCACAAGAATAAAACTTGGCACCTAGTTCCAGCACATCGAGGCAAAGGTAAAAATGTTATAGATTGTAAATGGGTTCAGAATTAAAAAGAAATCTGACGGCACCATAGATCGTTATAAAGCTAGATTAGTTGCAAAAGGCTTTAAGCAAAGGTATGGTCTAGACTATGAGGATACTTTCAGTCCTGTCGTAAAGGCTGCTACTATTCATCTCGTGTTGTCTATTGCTGTATCGAGAGGATGGAGTCTACGCCAACTAGATGTACAGAACGCGTTTCTTTATGGTGTTCTGAAAGAGGAAGTGTTCATGAAACAACCTCCTGGGTTTGAAAACAGACAAAAACCCCTTCACATATGCAAGCTTGACAAGGCTCTATATGGATTAAAGCAAGCTCCCAGAGCATGGTATTCTCGGTTGAGTTCAAAGCTTCAAGGACTTGGGTTTGCTCCTTCCAAGTCTGACACCTCATTGTTTATTTTCAACAAGTCAAATACATCTATATTTGTACTCATATATGTTGATGATATTATTGTCACAAGCTCATCTGATGAAGCTATTTCAGCATTGCTTAAGGACTTGAACTCTGAGTTTGCTCTTAAGGATCTAGGAGACTTACACTACTTCCTTGGCATTGAAGTAAAAAGAAATGGAGATGAGCTTCATCTGTCCCAAGAGAAGTATGCAACTGATCTTGTAGCAAGAGCAGGGTTGCAAGGTTGCAAGCCATCTCCAACACCTTTATCCAGCTCTGAGAAGTTATCCTTAATTGAAGGAAACCTCTTGAATCAAGAAGATAGCACCAGGTACAGAAGTATGGTTGGTGCATTGCAATACTTAACTCTGACCAGGCCTGATATTTCTTTTGCTGTGAACAAAGTATGCCAGTTTCTTCATGCACCCACTACAGTACATTTGACAGCTGCGAAACGCATACTTAGATATGTCAAGAACACTTTCAATGTTGGACTCACCTTCACCAAGTCACCATCAACACTTGTCAGTGCTTTTTCTGACTCTGATTGGGCAGGATGTCTAGATGACAGACGCTTAACAGGAGGTTTTGCAGTGTTCCTTGGTCCAAATTTAATTTCATGGTGTGCTAAGAAACAAGCTATTGTGTCCAGATCCAGCACAGAAGCAGAATACAAGGCACTCGCAAATGCTACTGCAGAAATCATTTGGGTTCAGTCATTACTGAAAGAGCTTGGGATACACAGTAAGCAAGTTCCATGTTTATGGTGTGACAATCTGGGTGCCACCTATCTTTCTGCTAACCCAATATTTCATGCAAGAACAAAACACATAGAAATAGATTTTCATTTTGTCAGAGAAAGAGTTGCAGAGAAAAAGCTGGACATTCGGTTTATTTGATCTCAAGATCAAGTTGCGGATGGCTTCACTAAAGCCTTACCT